CATTCATCAAGATCAACGCCGTCGTCATTGACGCTTGGCCGTGAAGGAGCCTCCGACAGTGCCTGGGCCCCTGATTTTACCTTTGACTTAATCTGGAATGCGTAGCCTGCGCTCCTATATCAGGAATCCTATCACGAAGCTTGTATTGTAGCTTCGAGCCATCGGGCTTTACGAAGAATAATTTGCGATAAGGCGGCCAATGAAATCCATAATCTTCGTCTAGATAGCGCTTTCCTACCGAAACTACGGGAGGGCTATTGCTGAAAAGATAGATATCAGCCTTTGAATTCGCTTCTGGCACAATTACCTTCCCAATCTTGTCAGCTCTATTTGGGCCGTTGGCTCTGACCAGATTCGCGGGCAACTCAGCATCTTGGAATTCCGATCTAGGATAATATCGCCTTTTATCTGGGATGCTCAGGAGATCCTCCTCACTTCCGGTATCAATAAGAAACTCCAGGTCGCTAACCCCTGCTGCACAGGCCATGACTGAATGGCAATGAATGTACGTGCCAAGTCCATCTAGATCTACGTATTCAAATTCATATTTAGCGCTAGCTCCTCATAGCATTGCCCTGACCAAATTCTCAAGCTCCTGAACTATTTGCACAATATAGTCAAGGTCTTCCTCGGACGATTCTGGGCAATCATTTGACCTCCGATGCTGATTCTGGAATTGCCTATCCCTTGCGGCTGATATTTTCGTGATATATTTATACGTGATCTCGCTCTCAATCGGGGCAATATTGAATCTTACGGTCTTTTGAGGTGCTCGATTCTGAATATCTGAAGTGCTTGCGATCATCGGGGATCATATTCTGCGTCTTGAGGGAGCAGCAGTTGCAATTCTACTATATCCCGGCGTGCCCGTTAGGACCGCATTCTCGACGAAATAACAAGCCGCCTTGATTGATTTCTTTCGAGATCTCGTACGACTAATCTTCCTACGCCTTCCTATATATGGGGAACGAGACCTTGTCTTCTCGCCTTCTTTGATTGGAATCGAGGGAGACGACGATTTATTTCTAGTCTTGCGCAGGAGCTCATATTGATCGCATTTCTTAGATTTATCATTCTTCTTGAAGAAAAGGATCTCTTCTTGCTTGGATTGCGAGGCGAGAAAAATCTGCAATTCGAGCTAGTCCACGAAGATGATCTAGATGATTATCTTGAATTTCTAGATTCCTGGGAAAACGATCTATGAGGAAACTTTTATTTATCCTGCCTATTAGATTTGCGTTTTGATCAATCAAAATAAATCTTATCTTTGCCATCTCCCCCCTTTTCCTGCCTTTTTTCCTGCCCTTTTTCCTTGCCCTTCTCTTTAGATAGGCCCTGAAGTGGGACATCATCTGGCGCTGGCGTGCCAAACTTATCTCCATGCGATAATCTTGTCACGATTTCTGCGAATATCCTCATAGGCAAGGAGGTCATGAATAGAAAGGATAAGGAAATCATAAGAATGGCGGTGGGTTCCCTTTTTGGCACGATCATAGATCTCTAGGTCATAATTCATAGATTGCGATCTCCGAAATTATATGAATAAGATATCTTTCAATAGGGATTCCTCTGCAATATGAGATATCCCGGTAATAATGGATAATAGCGGATTCCCAATTGTGTATGAAAGTTGATAAATCGTCACTATTCAGATTTTTTAAGTAGATCTTCAATAGAATAAAGCGAATCAGCTTCCTCATTAATTTCAAAAAATTGCTCGAATATTTGTAAAATTTGGTAACCTCGCACTGCGCGACCCTTGCTTGCCTCAATCTGCTTAATATTGAGGATCCTACGGTCGAGCTCTCCCTTCGCAACTTTGGAGAAGGCAATTAGAAGCCTCGTATCAAGGATCAAAAATTTATCTATATCTTTTAGGAGGTCTAGTATGGCTTTCTTGGGGAATACTTCTAATAATCAATTGAAGATCTCATCAGATTGATCAGATACCGTATCTACGGTCTCGCGCATAGAAATCTTCTACGATCTATACGTCTCCGGAGTAGGAAAATCCGATATCTTGATCTTTTCAGCTTCCTTCATTACGGATCTTTCGGGCTCTTGAAGTTTGCTGGTCAAAGCTTCCAAGATTTTGGACTTGTTTAGGAGAAATGCTAGGACAACTTCCATGAGCTTGCCCGGCATTCGATTTCCCAATGCATCTATAATGATCTTAATATATCCTTCTCCTAAATATAGAATATTTTGAAGATATCTATCTTCGGGTTTTCAGATGCGGACGATATCTGAAGAAGAATTTTTGAATCGAAATCTAGAGATTCGTCGAATCTAAAATGATAGATATTAGATCAAATATGCGAACGAGACGATCTCGCCTTCTCTTCTTCCGATTTTATTTCCTAAAGATGGAATTTTGCTCTATCAACGCCTGCATCTTGCTCTCGAAATCCTCTTTGATTTGGACTATCTTCTCTTCAACCTTCCTATCTCGAGAGGAAAAATCCCTAATAAATATTATTCTGAAGAATTCAAAATCAATTCTCCTTATTCTATTTCTTCTTACGACTCAACTCTTCACGCTCCTACGCTACCTGACTTTCGTACCTAACGAACCTAAATCTGCTTCCCTGAATTTCCCTGAATTGATTCCCCAATTCTTATCTGAATTGCTATATAGCTAGATTCAGATTGATGATAATTCTCTATATATCTCTCGGACGCCCGAAATATGGTTATTGATTATTCTTCTTATCTCATCATGATGATATTATCTCGTCGATCTATCTCAATTTCCAAGATCTTGTCGAATGCGCCTATATTCGAATCCAGAATTGAATTCTGGCGGGTGCGAATATTTCTAGCATCGAGATTGATCATATCAGAGAGAATCTCTGAGAGGGAATAATCAAATTCCATATCTATTCTTAGATGCCATCCTATACGACGGGAAAAATTAATCTAATAATTAAATCAATTCCGATACGGAATAACAAAGATTCCCAATCTCTTTATAACCAGGTCTTCCTTGATATTTTAGAAGATCTTATTGGAATTTCCTTTATCTGGATGAAGATGATAAATTTCTTCTATCAAATCACGATTTCCAATCGGAATCTTTTCTGCACCACGAGCATAAAATTTCTATTAAAAAAATCCTATATTCTAATCCGATTCTATTATTATATCGCCTTCTAGCATGAAATATTCCAAATAGGATTTATAATTCAAAATTTCAATATTCCCAATATATCTTTATATATCATAATGGGGAATATCTAATATTCTAGATGCGAGATTTTCAATATCAATAGAAGGGATTTATCTCTATTATATAATTCTTTTCCGAGATGCGGACCTAATATCATTATATAATTAGCTATATATCATAATCTTTAGAGAGGAGATCAAATCTCAAGATATATCGCATATTATATTCCTAGAAATGAAGAAGATATATCATCTATCTAAATAAGAAAGGAAATTTTAGATTCCTGTATGTCAAGATATCGCTCAAAATTTGATTATAAGATATTTATTAGATCCAGATCGATTCCATCAAATGAGAATTGTTCCTTCAATCAATCCCTAGATCCTATACTAATTCTAATTCCTCCTTCATCAACGATTAGCCTAATTTTCATATTATATACGATTTCATCAAAGAGAAATCATATATAAATCCTATATCATTTATATTTCGTATTTCTATATATTCCGTATCATTATTCATTCTTTCTTCTATTATTAGGAGAATATCTCTATATCATCTCATATATTCCTATAAATTAAGCTAAGATATATAATTGATTTTATATTTAATTTTCCAATATTAAGAGAACGATATTATATTAGAATATATCTATTCATAAACCTAAGAGACCTCAATTATATATGATTGATTTAATCTCATATCTAATCCCAAAACGTTAAAAAATCCTCTACGACTCGTATATATATAGATGCTATAAATTTTAAATTTCGTATCCCAAATCAAGAAATATAAAAAAAAAATCAATATCCAAATTATCATCAAATCTTCCAATCGAGTTCTTTTATAACGAGCTACGACGAATACGAAAATCTATTCAAATCAATATATATTTCTATATGAAATTATCAAAATAAATATAATATATAAAAAGAAAATATATAAAATCTATAAATAATTCCAATATATATAAATAATAGATATTTATCAATATCCTCAATATATAATCTATATTTTTAAGATTGACGTATATATTTAGAAGATATATCATATATATCATTATATATCAATTAAATATAGAATATATTAAATCCCATTACAAAGATCCAATAATTTTTCATTATTCTAATTGCCGTTTCTATTATGCCATTTAACCACCCCTCTATCCCATTATCAATATAACCCTGCCGCATCTGAATATTCGAAATAATATATATATATATTTAGACTATATCATATAAAAATATATCAAATTTTATATTCTCTTATAAGAAAATATCATAATCATTTTTCCTATTTCTCTTCAGATATTATTTCGAAATCAATTTAAATATTTAATCGTACGAAATTTAATTTCGTATATCTTCTATTAATATCTTTCATTATTTTTTCCTAAAATAAGAATGTTTTATTATCTTTTATTCTTTCATTTCTCCCTTCATCTGATTATAATGGATTTTTGATTTGATGGCCTTCCCTTCTGATATTTATTCCAATATCTGTTCATTTATTTAAGATGGAATCTTCAAAATATTTCGTTCCTTTTTTGGACATCCTCGATTCCCTCAGCAAACGCAATACATTTAAAAGTTCCGGTGGCAATTCGCATTTGGCCGCAAAAGGCTTCCCTAGCAAATCTCGAAGCTCAATCTTGTGACAATGCAGGAACAATCGCGGACAGGAAGGTAGCATTGATTCATCTCGTAAGCCTTGCCGTTCCAGGAACAGAATGGCAGGAGTCAGCAACTTAGCAGGCCTTCCGTGCAGCCAAGCGGCCATAAGTCAAATCACCAACAAGCGGGCGTCCGCAGCCTATGAAGTGGTCAGGTGACTAAGCACACACCCGAATACATGCATCTAAATCCAAGATTGCGGCAAACATGAAGCAAAAATCTGCTGGCGAGACACTTGCCAAGTGCACTCGAATCTGATGAGTGCGTCCTGTAAGCGGCTTGGCCGACAGAAGCATGATCTCTGTGCCGGAACGGACGACAAACCTGTCTAGAACCTGCAGCAAGCTTGACGAATGGTCACAGCCAGCCATGTCAATCTCCCAGTCACTCAACAAACTCAGCAACACTTCAACAGCGTCACGTGCAGCGAGCATGGTCAGATTAGTGTAGGTCAGTCCGGCCTCAAGCTTGGTACAGGAAGCTCTTCCCTGGTTGTGCGAGACTGTTGTTCTGCTGAAGTGCCGGCCAAATTCGTTGACTTCAATTGTCTGCAGCGGGCTGTCGATGGTGCGCGAGCTGCCAACAGCGCCCAAAGATTTGCCCTCGCAAAGGCAGAGGTACTCCTCAGGGGTGCCAGCAGCAATCTTCAGTGTCACAAACTCATGAGTTGCACCTCGGTTCAAAATGCACTCAGAGTGACAAAATGTGACCACGCCCAGCAATACCCACTAAGAGGTCACCACGACAAGTCTCCTTCTGAACCAGCCTTGCTGCAAATTGCGCTTGAAGCCAATAGGCTGGCTGGGAGCCTTCACCGCCCAAGGGCAGGGGCAACACCCCAGACGTTGGGTGGTCCAGCCGGGATACCAGGCACACTGTGCCTGGCATCTCCGCTCACATGAAAGGCTTACCCAATGTACTGTTCTGCCGAAGTGCCTGGCACCAATTCCTCCGTGCGAATACCTGCTGGCTTTGCGATGGCAATGACGCCAGGTGCGTGGTTCAGCAGCTCAGCCTCACACTGCTGAAGTTTTGAAATTGCACTTGTCCGGGGAACTGGCGTGTAGTCGCGCGGACATCTATTTTGGTGGGGTGGTATGAGGCGGTATAAGTGACAGAACCGGCGTGGCTTTTGAATCCAGCGCTCTGGGCAGGGCAGCTGGGCTGTTTGCGGAAGTCACGTCGATCCGCTGTTAGCTTCACTCATGTTGTGCCGCTGGCATGGCCCAATATTCTGTGATGCTGGAGGCATGTATGTGATATGACGCGGGCTACCGTGAAATAATAGGAGAAGTTAGAAAAGCTTGAGCTGCCTGCATCGCTGCACAGCACAGTCCGGCCAACTGTCTCCGGCCCACAGCCGTACTGGTTGCAAGCAGCGGCAGTACTGAGAGCTAGACCTGCCTCAACGTTTGCCATGAGATCTTGTGGAGCAATGTGGGGCTTCTCGCTTTGCCAGCCCTTCTGCAAAGCTTCTAAGATCGCCTCATCCAGCATCAGTTCTTTCAATACCGTGTTCTGACATGCTGCTGTTGAATGCCGCCATGTCGCATGAGCAGCTTTCTCGCCGAGACCCTGTCTCACAGCGTTGGCAGCTGACCCTGCCGCCCAGCAATCAGGTCTGAATTCTTTCCGCCTAAGTGGCAGTCGTACCAGCGGTGCCAACAGTGCAAAGCTTTGCACAACGTAAAAAGCACATGGCCGTCTGCTTGACCCGCGTACCAGGCTGTCTCAACTCTTTCCCGCTCAACGAGATCTGTTTGCGCACGGCTAGATGCAAGACCTTGTTCTTGTTTGTTCGTTCTCACTTCAGACTGCTTTCTGCTTTCTGGCGCTGGACTTACTCGTCCTCTTTTGCAGATCGCACGTCTGTTTCGCAGTCTGCCAGTCCTTGTTTGCCCATTTGTAATTTTCCGTATGTAGTTTGTTTCACTGCCAGGCCTGCTAGCTTGTTGGCGCAAGCGCGGGCCGTTAAAGTCGGAGCAGATCCTGGCTGCTCGCGGTCCTGAGTGAGGCTAGTCTGAAAGCAATGCCATTGCGCAAACGTTTAAGGTGCGCTTTCCATTGCCATCCATTGCCCTTGTGGATGAGACGGCGAATGCTGTGGATGGTCAGGGTGACAAAAGCGAAGGCCCGACGTGATGGTTCTATCATTTGAGCGAAATGTCTTCGTGACTAGTGGCAATTTCGAGAAATGCGAAGTAGACTGTTAGCTACTGATAACTACTGCCAAATGCCAATCCAGCAGCGCCATGTCGTCGAGCAGAGCCATGGCAGATGCCCAGGCTCCTCCTTCTCCGCACGCCATCAATGCAGCTGCAAAGTTCGCATTGCTGGGTGCAACCTGATGACTTTAACAGAGTCTTGCCATAAGAACACTTACAGAAGCACAGAGACAGCCAGACACAGAATACAGCATTGGACACTGAATTGCCTGGCGTTTGATGAGTGCATTGAAAACGCCCAGTGCATGGCGCCATCTCCCAGCTTTGTAACAGATGCTGATGCCAAGCGTGCATGCTATCTCATCCAGAACCTTGGCGCGAGCCATCTCCTTCCGAACTGGGATGCGCTTGCAGTAGGTGATTACATCTACTTGGACTACTTGGGGCTCTGCACCTGGCGAATTGGGTCGCTATGGTCGCTACATGTAGACTCTTGACAACCTCTTACAAGCTGCAAGGAGGGCTATGTTGTGGAACCACTGCAGGTCCTAGCATTCCCAGTCTTCAGATGTCTCAGGTAGGAGCAAGACTAAGACATGTGATGCCCCCACCAGGAATGAAATCTTGATTTTCTGCCCAGTATGAAGGCATAGGAACGAGCCGATGAGTCGAATGATCTCCGATCCATGTCTGTGAGAATCAACATCCGGTCCTCCAATAGTTGCAGACCTGCAGCGCATGCACAACAGCGCATGCACAACAGCTGCACACAGCCGCATTTTTGGTTTTTCTTCGAACACTTGCGGGTCGCAGGGTAAAGCGGAGATCCTGCCGGCCTGCCGTCCAACAAACTGCCTCCTCGCAGGCCCCCAGTGCTGCAGAATAGCATGCAGAGTCCGGCCCATCACGAACATCACGCATGTCCTGGCTAAATGTCTTGATGAACTTAGATATTTCATCCGAGCTCAACAAAAACAAAGATGACACGTATCAAAGCCCCAAAGATTTTGCCCAGATTCCGGGTTAAAGACTGTTCTGAAAGATTTTGAAAACAGAGGCGTTTTTTGTGGTAAAAACCACGGACACTACAGGAGAAATCATCGTTGCCACCGAAAAATGGCATGTTTCGGCTTAGTCTGTAATTCGGACGCGAATTATTCTTCGGAGCCGGACTTTTCTTGATTTTCACTCAAGTGGGTGCACTTAGTATCGAAGGGCTCGTATCACAGAGGATACATTAACTCTGCTTCGCGTGTACATGGGGACCCGAGGTGACCTGCGTGTCAACGATGCCATCACGAAGCTTTGACGTGCCTGCTACTTTAAATTTTAACACATGCCCACCCTATGCTTTTATCCAAGTATGCAGACGTTTCTGCTCCACGGGGTCCGACAAAGCAACCAAGGCCAGCTGCCACTGGGCTCCCTCCGCCAAAGCAGATGTCAGCGCACCAATGGTGACCTTCCAGCTTGGCAATACCTATCATGTCCAATCATGACGCTCGCTTCTCGATTTTTGGCAACGAATTGACAAACCAAAGAAAAAGAAGACCGCCACACACATTAAAACAAAGCCAACTGGCCCATGGGTGGCTGCTGCAATCATGTTTTCTAATCTGTTCATGTGTTGGAAATTTCATCCTAATTGAAAACCCTGAAAGCTGACTGCAAGTCACCTTGCACCCAATGCAACAAGCAACTGAAATGTATATGTGTGCTGCACTTGACAGTTGTCTCATGGACAACATGTACTCTGAAAACAAAGTCTGCCACCAGCTGCACTCCCAAGTGCCACGCCGACCATGTTTGCAAGTACATTTTCGTTGCACACTCACAAAAGTGTCTTAGTTTGCTTGCGACTTTGCGATGCACTCCAGCCGCCCTCCCATGCCCCCTGATCTACTACAGCTCTTGGTAACAGAGTTGGACACACACACACAAAGACAGACGTAGCAAGGCTTGCCCCCTTCGAATTAAAGCTGCGTAATCGTCTCACTCGTCACCGTGAACGCATACTGTGCAGGCTCAAGCCACAACGTCAGCTGCCATACTTTCTTCGAGCAAGCTCGCAAGGCGAACTGCCTGGTTCCACACCTGCGCATCAGCAGTTTTGGCAACCTGCATACAGGCTGCGCCTGGAAATCATGAATCATCATAAACACTAGCGGAGCCTTGCCACAAGACGTCACAGCAGAGTTGTAGCAGAAAAGGTTCGGCGCCATGCGCAGCTGCCCCAAGCACTCCAGGATTTGCAGGGCGCTCGTCCACTCATCACGCTGGCAGGCCAGGATGGCAGAGCTGTGCGTGATGATGTTGCTGCGACACTTCAAGCCTGCCATCTGAACAACTGCCCTCCAAAGAAAGACGGTCTTAAGATTTAGGTTGTCTTTGTAGCCCTGTGCCTGTGGCAGAAGCAAGCAAAAGGGAAGCCCGTTGCCAAAGGCCCGCTTTGGCAAACGAAGCAATGCCGCTGTTGAGCGTGACAATGTTCGGCTGAACAAAACGGTCCTGTACGCAGCAGGGTAAACTTCCAGCTTCGGCCAAACAATCGAGAGACATCATGCCAGATTCAACAAGGCCCCGCACCTGCATGCTCTGCAGCCTTCAGGTCAGGGTCTACCAGTGAACATGAAGCGTCTTATTGTGCTTGTTGTAAAGCCGATCAAAAGCTGCACTGACATTGCAAACTGGTGTATATTAAGGCTTGCGCAGACTTGTGGCTGGCATCCATTTGCTACATTTTTCGCACGCACTGATTGCTGCACTGAAGCTCACAACATTTGGCCACGGACCTCACAGGCAAGTGGCGGGCGGCGTCTTACACGCAGCCAGGGGGATAACACCATGACACCCAGCTTTAACAAAATGCTGCAGGCATTGCAGGCTTCAGGGCGCTGCTGGCCTGACTTGCACATACTTGTCAATATTGCCAGTGCGAGCTTCCACTGCGCCGCATTCTCCATTGCACTGATGACTGCAGAATGCGCAACGACCTGGTGCAATCACAGCGGAAGATGTTGCAAGCTGTTCGAACACCATGGCACGGTGATGTATTCACTTATCGGGACAGGTGCCGCATGTGTCCCGAAACAAATTTGTTAAACGATTTCCCTTCCAGGCCTCCCAAACGGCCTCTATGGGGCCTTCCACATGCCCCCCCTCCCCCCCAGAGAGTAGAGGGTCAAATAAAACTTTTGAACACGTTGAAATGACATGTTTAAACACATGTGTTAAACATTTCCCTACCAAGCTTTCCACAAGGCCTCTCTGGGGCCTCCAAGGGTCAAAAGGAATGCCTAAACATCGTTAAACAAATATGTTCAAACATTTCCTTTATCTGAACCTCTCACACACACACACACAGTCCTTGCGCCCCCCTCAGCAGAGTTCTGGGTAGCGCAACGAACTCCAAGCCAAAAATTGAGAGCACCAAAAAAGCCGCACTGGTGCATGCTCCTGGAAGAGTCTTGATGTGATGCAGCTCTGGTTTGCCAGTGCATGTTCAGGCTCATCGTTCTTGCCTTTTCTTCCTGTCAGAAAGTTCTACGACTTGATACATGAAAGATGAGAGTTTCAGGACACATTGGAACATCAGACATGCTGGCGTGTGTCTGCACATGGCGCTTCAACCTTTAATTGCACAATGATCCAAGATCAACGTTCACAAGTAACACGAGCCTGTGAGCGCTAGGTCACTGTCTGCTAAAGCATGCGCATCAAAGC